CTGGGGCACAGCACATTTTAACAGCCCTGCAGTGTGACCCCCAGGGAGGCAGGGCCCTGCTCACAGCACAGCACCCACAGATTCCCAAAGCTGAAGGATTTTTCAGCACCAGGAGCTGTTTCCTTCCCTAAACTGTGGAACAGCTCCTTGGCTTCTATCTCTGGCTTCTTCATCCAATGTGAACTGACATCTCTTTGCCTCCACACTGTGTGGCTTCTTAATGCACCAGAGCACTTAATACACTCTCAGTGTGTATTTTTTGTGTAATTTAATGCTGTGCAGCACAGCTCCTGTGCTGGCTGAATGTATAAAATGACCTGCCTTTAATGTTGTCTCATTCACATAAAAATGTGTAAATAAATCAAGCTTTACAGTATTGCACTATCAGGATAACTGCTTCATTTTTCACAAGCAATGTTGCATGTCTATTTAATTCTGTTTGTCTTTTAGGCAAGGCCTTTGGAAATGAAACTTTAAATAAAAAGATTGTGGTAAAATGAAACTTTGAATAAAAGGTTGTGGTAAAACCGACAGAATTCTGGCTTGTTCCATGCTCTGGGAATAGCTTTAATTGGCCCTAAATGTCTTGAGAGAAGTTAAGGCAGAATTTATTTTACTGAAATGTGTATTGAAAGGCCTGTCTGTTTTTTAACAAGACACTCGTAAATGAAATGCAGATTGATGTGTTTTGGGGCTGCAGCTTTACATGAGTGTCCAAGTATTTGGTGTCAGCTGTAGGAATTGGGCAATTTACTTAAAAAACTTCATTTTACAGAGTTTAAAAAAAAATAAATTAGCATTTATTATTTTGGAGAAGAGCTTGAAAATGTGATCCAAGGGTAACCTAAAGGAGTGGGGAGACACAACCCCAAAATCACTGTATTACTGGTGGCCTAACTCATGAGTTTTACTGAAATTGTTCTCTGAAACAGCCAAGCCCTCTGATACAAGCTGGGAATGCTCTGCTGGAGGAGTTGTCATCCTTCAGCTCCAGGGCACCATGTCTTTGATACAGGAGCAGCTTCACTGCCATTTAGAGATCTAGAGACAGTCATAAATGAATTTAGAATAGTGGGGACGAAGCTTAATCGACTGCTTGCCAACTTAATTAACACTTAACAGATGGGTTTTAGTCTAGGGGGATAAGAGGATAACCCTCAGGATACTCTTAATTAAATGTATCTCTTGGGGTCCCAAACCACAAAGGGAAAAAAACCAAGAACAATCCAAGAGCAGCCTCAGCTGCTTTGGTGTTAAAGAGCTGCACTTGATTGAATCCCTGGACAGTGCTGGCAGAAGCAGCTTCCCCAAGCCCCAGAACTTCTGATAAATGTGGTAATAATTTGTTGACATCAATCATTTAAGGGTTAGTGTCTTATATAACAGACAAGTGTTTTAAGTGCTAATATCAAGTGATGGCAATTGAGCCAGATGTCAGGAGCATTACAGAAAGACGTGCTGCCGAGGAGGTGTTATTTCAAAAGACAGAAGTATTTAAAATGCCTCTGAAATGGCCTTAAACGTTGGGAGTTTGTGGTATTAAAGCAGAATATATTCCTGGCCAGGGAGGAAGAATGTGGTAGTGAATCAATGAAGTGTGTGACTGCAGCAAGGGAAGGCTGAGGTGACTGAGAATAACCAGCTACCACCTAAATTGCAGAATCCCTTTATCTGGGCAGGTGAGACTGATCTTACCTTTCTAAAGCGAGTTCTGCTCTGCTGTTTTCTTATGAGGGGAAGGCCTGCCCTGTGCACAAATAAATCACCAGCCTGGTGGAGAAGACCAGCTGAGAGCTGCTTTCTCCCCTTTTTTTTTACTGTACCTGAAATTTAGAATAAAAAGCATTTCAACCACAGAAATTTATAGTGTTCGTGTCAAAAGCCCAGGATGCTTTCTGGCTTTCCGAGCAAGGACAAAGCCGTTGAACTAAACCTTTGTGTCGCCGAAATTCGATAGCCAAATGCGGCCAAACAAAGGAACGCTGCTTTGTGTTTTGAGAGGTAAAGGGACCCAGGCATCGATTCATCAGCCGGCTCAGATGACGGGCTGCCTCGAACCGTCTCACGGCTGGGATTAAAGCCGAGATTTACTCCCACTGTCACTGTTCCCACCTGGCAGCCGGCCAGGGCTGCCCATAAATCCCCCCTGGAGGAGCAGCATCTGTGTCCCGGCACATGGAACACCCCGCGGGGCCCCCGAGCCCCCTGCCCTGCCCACGGCCCTGCCGGGACAACCCCCGGACCTCCGGCAACAGGTGATTCAACTGTGGAATCGCAGAATCGTGGGATGGTTTGGGCTGGAAGGGACCTTAGAGATCATCCGGTTCCACAGGCAGGGACACCTCCCACTATCCCAGAATCGTGGGATGGTTTGGGCTGGAAGGGACCTCAGAGATGATCCTGTTCCAGGGGCAGACACACCCCCCGCTATCCCGGGCTGCTCCAACCTGGCCTCGGGCGCTCCCAGGGCTGGGGCAGCCGCAGCTCCTCTGGGCAGCTCTGAAGCGGCTCCTTCCTCCGTGCTCGGCCCCTGCCAGAGCCGCCGGCTCTTCTCCAGGTGCAGCTCCGAGGGCAACGTGCGGAATTTTTAAATAAATTTAAATAAATTTCCCCCCTCGACCTCAGCCATTGCCGAGCCCACGTGACGTGACCGGCCCGGCGCGACCCCTCAGCGGGGCCGGGGCATGCGCGGGGCCGCCCCTCCCTCCCTTCCCCTCCCTATCCTTCCCTCCCCTCCCTTACTCTCTCTCCCTCCTCTTCTCCCTCTCCCTCCCTCTCTCCCTCCCTCCATCCGGGTCACCGACCCCCTCCCCGCCGCTCCCTGAGGCGCTGGGGGGGGACGGAGGGGGGGTGGCGCGCGCAGGCGCGTTCCCGCCTCTCTCCCGCCGCTCCCGCGCCGTGCCCGTGCGCGCTCCCGCCGCTCCGGCCCCGCACGGACGCCCCTCCTCGGTCGGTGCGCGCGCTCCCGCCGCCCCACACGGACAGCCGGGAGCGGCGCGCGCGCTCCCGCCGCCCCACAACAGGGACACCGCGGTGCGCGCTCCCGCCGCTCCGGCCCCACCACAGGGACACCGCGGTGCGCGCTCCCGCCGCCCCGCCCCGAGCCCCGGCCGCAGGTGAGGTGAGGCCCGGCCCGGGCCGAGCGCTCCGAGCCGCGAGTGGGGAAGTTGTTGTTTTGTTTTCTTTTTTTTTTTCCTTAGGGCGGATCCCTAAGGGAGGGTTTGGGGGGTTTTTAATTAAAGAATATCCCCAGCGAGGGCTCCGGCCCGGGCGGGGGGTGAGTCCCGGCTCCTGCGCTCGCCCGGGGCGGCTCCACGGGGTGTGGGATCGTGGGGCGGGGTGGGTTGGGAAGGGACCTCAAAGATCACCCAGTGCCACCCCTGCCACGGGCAGGGACACCTTCCACTAGCCCAGGTTGCTCCAAGCCCCGTCCAACCTGGCCTTGGACACTTCCAGGGATGGGGCAGCCACAGCTTCTCTGGGCAACCTGTGCCAGGGCCTCACCACCCTCACAGGGAAGGATTTCTGCCCCTCAGCTCCTCGGGGGGGGGTTCTGTTGCCGTAGAAATCGCCATGTGTAGCCCTCACGTTTCGGGAATGTGACTGTGAGGGAGCTGCTCGTGCTCAGCTGCTGCTCCAGAGGATGCCCAGGAAAACCCCCCCGGTGCCGCCCGTGCCGGGGAGGAACTGAAGCCCCCAGTGGCAGGAGCTGCTTCGCTTAAATTTCAGAAGATTTTTAGCTTTGTATGAACTTAGAGAGTTTGCTTTCAAGTGTTTGAGCGGCCCCTGTCACCCGGTGTTTAAGTGGTAAGCAGGTGTTAATTCCCAGAAGAAAGGGCTCAGTGAAAGGTCTGATCCCAGTGGCTTTAGTTCTTGGGATCCTCTCAGTCGAGCTGTGTGAGGCTGTTAAATCTGAAATCTAAGAGGGAGCAGAGTGAGCAAATAGTTTGCTAATGAGTATTGCAATGGAATCGCTTTTAATTTGTTTATTGCAGTTAATACTCTTGTAAGAATTAGCTGATCATAATAGGAATTAGCTGGTTGTAATTTGCATTTGCATATCTCCATTCACAGATAAATAGGGACCTCTCACCTTTCCCTTTCCGGGGAGGTAAGTGAAGAAATTCCCTTTTTTCCTAGGGAGGCTGAATCAGAGTGTTTTGGCTGTTGCACTGATAATCACATTCCTGTACCTGTCAAGCTTGGAGTGCCCTTCTTCTGGTTTTAATGCTTTCTAATAATTGCATAATCAAATAATTCTGCCTGATCTCTTTAAAATATCACTTCTCACAGGGCAGTTTGTCACTGGACTTGTTAATTAACATTCACACATCAGTCTTACCTGTCTCATCTGATGCCAGGGAAGGTGTTGGATATTCTTGCATTGCTCAGTAACCAGGTGCTTTGATACTGATTTGGGTGAAGTCATGAAAAACGAGTAATCTGAGAAAAAAACACTCAGAATTAACAATGTAGGTTTATGATTAAAAAGAATAGAACTATGATACATTCTTAAGGAAGAACCATAGCACAATTGAAGTAGCTTTTATAGCTCAATATTCTCTACAGAAGCTTTTCAGATTTTGGTTTTACAGCAGGAAATGCTGTGCTGGAAATTACACAGAGCTGTTGATGTTGCTGCTGAAATGTTTCCTTAACTTAGGCTAAAATTGATTCTGTTAAATCCCTTCCTCTGCAAGCTGCAGGAATTCAAGGGAATAACTGCATTGTGTTCTGCAGCTTAACCATGTCCAGGTTTCCACTCTTGTTCTTTAAAGCAACGAGATGATTTCTGGGAATTAAATTTGTGTTTCTAGCTGAGGAAGGAATTTAATCTGCTTCCTGGCATGGGGAGGGTTAAACTGCCCCAGCTCCCCAGTGTCATTTACACTCATCACTGGAGACCTGCTGCCTTTTCACAGGGTTAGAAAATTTAACCCAGTCAGGTATTTTACTGCTGTGTTTAAATCTTAAAATGGGATGATTTCATATGAAACCAAGCCCTGTGTGCAGAGCTGGGGACGGGGGTTTTTCCATCAGGATTCTTAAACTCTGCAGACCTGCAGAGCATCTCCTCAGTGCAACAGTTCACCCCCGTGCAGGATTTGATGTGTGTCGTGATGCCACATGTTGCTGGTCAGCAAAACTTGGGATTTTCCAAGTGTGAAAGGCATTTACACAGGAAAATGACCCAGTGGTGAGCAGAGGGCAGGCCTGCAGTGCAGGAACACCAGGGCTGTCACCTCAGCTCTGTGCCCAGAACCCAGATGTGCATTTGGTTTAATCCCTGTGCGTTTTGGAGGTGGTGGTTGGTTGCCTGTTTTCCCAGGGAGCTGGATGAAGCGAATCAGGACACAGAATGAAGATGCAGGGACTGCCAGCTGAATTTATTCAGTGTTAAGATGATAACTGGGCAGGTTTGTGTGCATCTCTTGACAGTCACAGTGACTGTGCAACCATCACTTTCTGTCCACTTCACAGGGCACTTGAATTGTTCAGTGGTACAGAAATTAATTGTTAAGAAGCTGGGTGCTCTGGCTCTTTTCTTGGCTTTTTTTTCCCTTTTCCTTTTTCATCCCTCCTCTCTGACTGTGTGTGTGCTGTCTGAGATATCTGAGCTCCTGGCACTTGTCTGCAAACATTTCTGTTTGTTATTGATCCCTCTCCTATTCCTGAGTCGATTTGGCAAAGACCTTTCCTTGATTGTGTTGCCTGCCCTACCACCAGTCTTGCCTTTTACTTTTCCATTTGTCACCTTTTTCTTTACAGAATTGCCCTGTTCTCTTACACCACAAGACGTGGCAATAACATGGATGTCTTTTTTTTTTTCAAAATGCAAAAGGAGTTTCAGAGTTTTAGAACCTCCTCGTGCTGGAACTTTGAACTTAATTATAATTCTCTGATTTACTTCAACCAAATGTGGAAAAAGAAGGAAAAACTGAGATTTTTTTTCCCCCTACAATGCATTCTTTAGGTCTTTTAAGCTGATGTTTTAGAACCAAAGGCAATCCAGGGCTGGAATGTTGCTCTCAGTTCCACCTTGGCTGGACTGGAGGAGTGTCTGTGTCCTGCTGCCTGGTTTGCTGAGCCCAGATTTCTCCCAGAGCCAGATGGTGCCTTTTGTTTTTCCCTTGTTGGTGCATTTTTGTTCCCTTTTCTCTTCCCTCCTTACGTGAATCAGCGAGCACAAAAAAGGAGGTTTCCACCAGCAGCTCATTTTCTTGCATTTCCATCTTTTCTGTGGCACTGAGAATATTTTCCTGGGGAAATTCAGGAAATGTTCCCAGGTCTGTGCCCCAGTTTGTGGTGGTTTGGCTGAAGGGGTGACAGGGACTGGGGCAGTTACAGGAGCACAGGATCCTTCCACTGATTTAACTCATTTAATGGAGCATCACGCCTTGGGTGTGTCCCAGAGCAGTTTGGAAATACTTAAAATGATTTATCCTAAATATTTTTCCCTCATTTTTACGTGTTTTTTTCACCTTAACTGCAAAGTGTTTGTGTGTTGTTAATTAGAAATCTTGTCTTAATGTTTTCCCATGAGTGAGAGTGGGTTTATTTTACATTTTTAATGTGTTTTTGTTTCAGTTCATAGCATTTCTCAGTGTCTGCTTCAAAAGAATAAGCTGATATTCCAAATGAGACCATTGCCAATGAAACACCATATATTTACCTATCTTTTTTTAGAGTTATGTGATAAATTAACACTCTTTCCAAAGGTAGATCCAGTGCAGTTCCATGTTTTCTCTCATTTGCAGTGTGATAACCTCAAGATTATTGCAGCCATAGGTGGCAGAAGATATGCTCCTTTAAAAATCTTTTTTTACTGTATAAAAACTGGCCTCCCTAAACTCTTTTATTTAGTCTTTTGCTTTTTTTTGCATTTATTTTTAATCCCTTGATGTGTTTACTCACAGCTGTAGATACCCTTCCCCATGGGAAACATATTTTCCAGTGCTCAGGAGAAGGAAATTTCCTTCCATTAGGAGATTTTAGACTTTGTTCCATATGTGCCTGGAGAGGCTTTGGAGAGGTGGTTTAACTTTGCTGAGTCCCTGAGGAAATAAAGTTATTTCCTCAAATATCAGAAGACCCCTCTGATGACTCGGGAAGAGATTTTAATTGTTAAATAAAAAATGGCTGTTCAGTGCAAAGTGTGTCATGGAGAAAAGCTTCTGGAACAGTGTTGTCATTTTGGATTTCTGTCAGGGCAAAGGGAGGAGGAATTCCAGCTCCTTGACAGAGTGACTTTATGTCCCTTGTGATTGAGCAGCAGAGGCTTCACTCCCCTTGCAGGGTTGGGGTGTGGTGCTGCTCATTTGGGGGTGACAACAAACGTCAGGGTGATTTCTCTTCTTTGTTTTTGTAAAGTTCTTTGCCTCCCCAGCCCCCTGGGGATGTGGTGCCCTCCCACTCAGTCTGGGTTGTGTTTTTTGGGATGGCAGAGCCCTGGTGGAAGCTGGCCCATCCCTGGGAGCTGCAGTGGGTGAAGGATGCTGAGGGATCCCATGAAGTCCTGGAGCGACAGCCAGTCAGACCTGTACAGCAGCGACCAGGAGGAGGAGGAACAGATGATTTTTGGGGAAAATGAAGATGATTTGGAAGAGATGATGGATTTAAGTGACTTGCCTACCTCCCTCTTTGCTTGCAGTGTCCACGAAGCTGTTTTTGAGGTGCAGGAGGAAAAGGTAAGGCAGGGGTTGGAAGTGCAGCTGGACCTATTGAGCATTTTTGTCTGGATTTTCAGTGTATTAATGCTTGTTATAACTGGGGGAACAACCCAACCCAAAGTATTTTCCTGGGAAGCTCAGAGCAGCATGAGTAGAGTTACCAAAGAGCAGATAATACCACTCTTCCTTGGCCTTTGAAATTGTTAGTGGGTACACAGTGCTCCTCGTGGAAATCCTCGTGGAAGGTGATGTTTTTGGAGATCTGCACTTCGAGTTTCTCTCACTAGGTGGCAGTTTGTGTATTCCGAGCTTTTGGTCTCTGTTCACATCCAGGTGCTCTTGGAATTCAGATTTAACTCTGGGACAAAGCTGCTGCACTGAACACGGGTTTGCAGGTTGGGGTAACTGAGGCAGGTGTGGAATGGGCACGTTTAGGAGATGAAGGAGTTGGATGGGATTTGGGAGGGGAAAGTGAAAGGACAGTGTGTTTTCCCAGAGAGAAAATGTTCATTTTGTGTCTGGGGAATGTTTGTACTTCATCTCTAGGAAAGGTTTGAAGCCCTTTTCACAGTCTATGATGACCAAGTGACATTCCAGTTGTTTAAGAGCTTCAGAAGAGTGAGGATAAACTTCAGCAATCCCGAGGCAGCAGCGAGAGCACGGATAGAGCTGCACGAGACAGACTTCAGTGGGAAGAAGCTGAAGCTTTACTTTGCACAGGTGTGAGGGAACAAAGATGTTGTGCTCGTGTCCCTGTCCCTTTATTCCTCCTTTGTCCCAGAGTTCCATTTGTGATACCATCAGAAGTCACCTCCAACCTCATTGTCCTGCACTGAGCCGTGTCAGGGCGTCACTGACAGGGATAAAATTCACTCTTTAGGGGCAGTTTTGCTGTTCATACCCAAACAGAAATGTGCTGAAAGAAAAGAAGTAGATGCAAAATGTTCCATATAATGGGTGCTTTGCAGGGATATTGTTGCTGGATCAGCACTGGGAGCACTTGCACAGGCCAAGTTCTGAACTGCAGCATTTCCCTGGGGGAAATTATTTTTAAAGCTGGGCTGAATGGAGCATTGCTAAAGCAGAGGATGGAAAAGCATTAGTGGGGAAAGGAGTAAATAAAGAGGGAATTAATATTTGCCATCTGTATCTCCTGGTTTTGCCCTCAGGTGCAGGTATCCAGCGAAATAGGTGACAAGTCCTACCTCCTCCCTCCACAACCTGTCAAACAGTTCCTGATTTCCCCACCTGCCTCTCCACCAGTTGGGTGGAAACAGAGTGAAGATGCGACTCCCCTGATAAACTATGACTTGCTGTGTGCTGTCTCCAAGCTGGGACCAGGTGGGAACATTGACCTGCTTTTGCTGTGATGCTTAACTTCAGAAATGGTTAGAGAGGGATTTTATCTCCTTACCTTTGTGTGAGAAGAAACTCGGCCTCTTTTATGTGATGTGTCTTCCTTGAATGAAATGATCCATCACTTTTTTTACTTAATTAGTTAATTGATTGAAAGAGCAGCACAGACTGGCCTGTGTGGTACTGGCTCCATCACATCCATACACTGAATTTTGTCAGAGTCTCAGCATTAAGGAACAAACTATAAAAGAGGCATGAGAACTTCAGTCTCTTGCAGATGGGCAGCTCAAGTTACTAAGGATGAGATGCTAATATGTACTTTTGGGGTTTAATCATCAACTTCTTTCTGAACCTTCCTGGGAAACATAGTGTTTGCTTTCTGTGAAAAACAGGAAATATGGAGGCTTAACCTTTTCAAGTGCTTTTGTAGGTTTTCATTTACAAATGTCACACAAAATGTACAGCATAAATGATGCCACTCAAAAACGTGTGTGCTGCTTGTGCTTTGATGTCTTCAGTGGCTGGTGAGGGTTTTTAGCATCCCTTCCTTGCTTTAAATACCAGTTGAGGGGCTGATTGTATTCGAGGGAAGATGTAACTATTTTAAAGAGGTTCAGTGGAGTGTGGAGGTTGAGCAAACCGAAGATGAACATTTGGTCGTGCTGCTGGGGGTATTAAGGAGCTTTTGAGGGTAAATGCTTTGCCCTGGGGGTGTTTTAGCCCGGTCTTTGTTTGCTGCCCCCAGGGGAGAAGTACGAGCTGCACGCGGGGACAGACTCCACCCCCAGCGTCGTCGTCCACGTGTGCGAGAGCGAGACGGAGGAGGAGGAGGAGATCAAAAACCCCAAACAGAAGATCCTGCAGACGCGGCGCCCGGACCCCCCCCCGACGATCCTGGGCGACTCCAAGGCCTTCGAGTGTGCCCTGGAGGTGGGGGGGACCATGCACTGCTAGAGCTGAGCTGCTCCAGGGGGTACCAACACCAGACACTCCTGAGTCCATGTGTTGATGTCTGTGCTGCTGCCGTAGCGACAACAGATCTGACTTGTAGTTGTCTCTCATGCTCAAGAGTTTGGATGCCAATGCTCTGAAAAGCACTTTAATTTTAGGGACTAGTCCTGTCCCCACCCCCTCCCCGAGTGTAGCAAATCCACCTGACTTGAAATAGTGACAATTAGGGAGTCTGGTTGTGTTTTGGGTTTGGTTTTTTTTTAAGATGTTACTCTTTTTTGTTTCTGTTGTACAGTGTGATGTACCAAGTGCTGAAATAACCTCTTGCTGTCGTGACTGGGTACCAGAAAGCTCCTTGCACAGCAATTTAAAGCTGATCTGTGCTGGTCCAACAGCTTCCAGTTAATATAGTGTTAAACACAAGTGAAATGCACTCTTTGTGCTAAAATTCCTCCCCAGCCGAGGTGAGGATTAACCTTTGCTTTCCTCAGAAAGGCCAAGTGTGTGTTTGTGATTTGACATGAGGCACAAACACAGGGATGGAGCTGAACTCAGCTGGGTTTGGTGGCTGCAGGGGGGAAGAGCCACACGCTGAGTCCGTCACCAACACTCCTGCTCTGAGCTCTGGGTGGTGCACTGGTGCTTTGCACTGACACCTAATCAGGAGTTAATTACAGCAGGTAGATTAAAATATGGGTCCAGCTGCTGAATGGGTTGTCTCTGATCCTCTCTGAACATGTCCAGTCCTGGAGGCGGCTCCTGGGCCGGGTAACGCAGTGACTGTTAGGTCATGTCAGGAGATCAGGCACTGAGGGTTAATTTTTAACTTCTCCAGTCTGTTTTGTATTTTCAAAGACAATCAGTTGCCTGGCTTAGCCAGTTCTTATGCAGTTTCAGCCCTTGTTTGCTGTTTTCCTGTGTGGCACCCTACGTGTCTGGCAGAGCATCTGCTGCCTCTGAGAGCAGGGTGCATCTTTTAGAATACAGATCTTTGATTTTGTGATCTTGTGTTAAGTGTTTTTTAGTAGGAGGAAAATATGCCTTGGTATAACAACACCTGCTCCTGTGCTTTTATGCTATTTTATAGCCAAACTTTTTTAGTCTAGACAGATTCTTCTTTTTTTTCTATTTCAGAGGATAAAATGATTTGTGAACAAACCAGGCTGCTGATGTTTGTGTGTAGAAATCATTTGAGTCGTTCAGAAATTCAGATTTTTCAGGTTCATTTTAGTGTGGTTCAGTTGTTCATGACGTGCTTATTGAACTTCCCAAAGTGTTTTCACTTGGCTGCCAGCAGAGAGAAAAGGAATGGTCAGGGATTCACATGGATGGAGCAGTTTCCAGCTCTTGTGCTGTCCTGGATTGTGATCCCTCCCACCACCAGCTTCACGTTGCAAAGTGGGATCCTGCAGGCAGGTCCTTGTTCCAGAGGCAGGAATAGCATAGATTAAAAAGGTAGGAAAATGGGGTTTGTTCACCTTGCCTCCACAGGTGTGATATTTATGTATCTCTTCAGGTATTAAAATCACTCAAAGACCAACTTCTCTGTCTCACTGTTCTGTGGTACTGAAACAAAGAGGAAAAACCCAACAAAACCCTGTATTACCCATCAGGCTTGTGGATTTTTAAAACTCCAGAAGCCCTGTCTGGATTCTCTGTGTTGTTTATATTTTGTTAGCTGTTTAATTTCTACCCCACTGTAGAAGGTGCTGTGAGTAGGAATAAGTGGAAAACCCTCAGAAACAGTTTTATGAGGCGAAGCAAGTGTGATGTTGTCGATGTGTAAACGTGTAAAATGTGGAACATTCCAGCACTTCTCATTGTGTAAAGACACTTAAAATAAAACAATGCAGTGCCATTCACACTTGGGATTTTAGCTGTTTTCCACGTGAGACCAAGTTTGATATATAAGATTTTTAATGGTGGTATCTGCCTTGAGTGAATGCTCACAATGACTGTGGTTTTCCATGTGGAAATTATCAGGGAATGAAGAAGTTGGGGGGTTTCAGCAGAAATATCCTGGGAGTTGCTGGGCTGCAGGAGAGACTGAGGGTGTTTTTGGTGGGTTTGGGGGCCTCTCACAGCCCAGGGGAGTTTGACACTTGGGTGAGTCCTGAGCTCTGCGAAGATTTTGTTCCAATTAGGAGAAATATTTCCTTGCTTTCAAAAAACCTCCCAAGACCCATTTCCACAGGAGAGAAAGGGCCAGACTTTACATAAGTAATGTGGGATGCACTGATCCACAAAACTAAACCATGGGCTTTTGTCCCGGGTGACATCAGGAGCAGGTGAGTCCTGGCCATGGGTCGGTACCAGAAGTGGCTCTGGTCACTCTGGGGTGACTCCCTGCCCTGGGAGTGAATAAACTTCAAGTTCTGCTTTATTTACTGCATGCCCTGACTCGGTAACAACCACCAGAACCAGTTTCTCTGAATCACTGACCTGCTGTTGGGTGCTATTTTTAGCACAGGGCTGGCACAGGGGCACCAACTTGGCCCTTTCCGAGCCTGCACTTTGTCTAAATAAATACCCCAGATCCCTTTAAAGCTTCCTGGAGAAGCAGCTGAAATGTGTGGTGTTTCTCTGGGCCTGTGTCTTCTGGATTTACAGTTGCTGGGGGTGGTTTGGTTTTATTTCCCAATAGCTGAGAACAAGCCCTGTTTTTGCAAGTGTGTGATCACAGCTCCTCGTTCTACCTCTTTGCTGAACTGCTTCCCCTGGAAAGGCCTCATGGATAAAATGCCTGTTGCTTCATTTATTCCTTGAAAGGTTTCACTTCCATTTTTGTCTGCTTTTGGATTATTTAGCCTAGAACAGAAGATTGTTATGTTCATCTTGCCAGGCTTTGTTTACTTGCTCTGCTCTGAGTGGAAAACTTGCTGGGAGAGATTTATGGTCCAGTGTGTGTTTAATGTGGAAGGAGACCCCAGCCAAGCCTCATTCCCTTGGAGAAAATGCAGAGCAGGATAAAACACTCCTTCTCCTGTAGGTATTGCCCCTGCAGCCCGAGGGGGTGTGACACAGGGCTGTCCCTGACCTCACACTCAGCTCCAGGAAGGTTTCACAGGCTCTGTTTAATTGTCTCAATTAAAAAAGACCAAGACTGGAGTTGTGTCCTACCATGTGCCCACCTGAGTGGAGGGATGGGTGAGACCCTGGCCTTTTTTAGGCATTTTAGCTTTAGGCTGTATTTGTGCTGAGTCCCACTGAAAACACACCGTGTTCCAATGTTAACTGATGTGTTAAAACCCTCCTCTGAACGAGGGCTCTCACATTTTTAACACCTTGGCGTGTTCAGGCTTGTGGAAGGGAACGTTTGATTTCCCTGCTGCACTGAACATACCCCAGCTATCAGCAGTGCCAGGGTGAGGCAGTGGGAAGGACATTCCTGGTTTGCTGTTACATAAAATATCAAAATACCAAGCTGTGTGTCCTTTGTGGCCGTGCAGGACCCTGTCCCTGCCGGGACAGCTCAGCCCAGCAGGCAGAGCCTAGGAGGACACCAGGCTGGGCTGTGCTCTCCTGCTGGGACAGGTCCCCTCAGCTCCAGCCCTTCCAGGGGTGTCTGGGAATTGCTTTTGAGGCTGTGGGGATGTGTAGAGCGCTGAGGTCCCGGTTTCACAACACAATTCCAGACTGTAATAATGAATTTCTGGTCAGTCTGTTGCAATATCTCTGCTCTCCCTTTGTTCTCTCTTTGTTCTCACTAAGACAGTCCCAGGCCCTGCCCTGCTCAGTGCAGACAAATGTAACCAGTGGTGCTGTGAACTGCCCTGGTGTTCCAGGAGGAGTCCAGACCTTCTCCATGGATAAATTCAGGGAGACTTCACTCCTTGTGAGGTTATGGCACTTCCTTAGGGCTTCTGTAAGGCTGTAGCAGCCCTTGTAGTTAATTGAGAGTCCTTCAGCATTCACTGACTTTGTCAGGATTGTTCTGGAGCATCCCAATGTCTCCTTTTGTCCTCCACCAACAGGAACAGATCAGGACTGGTGGCTGATGAGCTGTAAACTGGGTAACTGGTGTTGGCAGCAGAGCTTTACACACAACAGTGTATAAACATTTATATGTATTTATACATTTAACGGTGCATAAACCCAGTGTGTGGGTTTATTATTATAGCTAATAGTAAAGGGCTACAAATTTAGGACCTGGTGAGGGATTTCTTCCCAAGCAAACACTTGGGAAAGTCCCACCCTCCCTCTCTGCTGCCTCACATTTGCCTTTACTGAGCTCGTCCTTGGCGTCCCTGTGGATGTTCACACCCTCCTGAGCGTCGTGGCAGGGGCAGCACCTCATAAATCCAGGTGGGTTTTATGGCTTAAAGGATGCTGAGCACACTGAGGTGCCTGGGAACAATGACACTGGGCTGCTTCCAGCTGGGATTGCTGGGTGCCAGTTCCTCCCAGGGGGACCCTCTGGATTGGTTTTCTCTCATGGATGAGACTCCGAACAGAAGCTCCAGGGGGAGTTTCTCAAAAGCAAGGGGTCTTTCTTTCTTCAGGTGCCTTTCCCAGAGGGAATGTCCTTGTTCAGGACAAAGCAGTGGGAAGCAGGAGATCTGAATTCTCCTTTGAACTTGGATCTCTGCAAGGGAGGAACATCATCCAGCCAATGCTTGGTAGCAACACAGAGCGTTTTCTTCTTTCCACATCAACCCAACAGTCACAGAGGCTGCTGCCTTCTTTCTTATACTATTTAAATTGAGTTATTAATTACTTTTATTCATGCCTCTTTCAAGTGATGGTTGCTCACTGTTGAAAGAAGCCCCTTGTGCTCTCCAGAGATCCAGCCCAGGGAAGGTACGTGGCTGGAAAACCACTCCTGTTCCCGGGAGAGCCTCATGTTCCTTCTTGTTCATGCAGGATGAGGCAGTAATTGAAAAGAAACCAATCAAGCAAAATTTATTCCCTTGAAAAGATGACTGGTGAGTAATCCCTGCTGAGACTTCAGTCTCTGGTTTTAAGGAGCTGCATGGGGAGGGATTGAGGCAAAAGGATTGAGCTGGAAGTGACTAATGTGGGTCTTTGTAGCTGTACAGGAAAATTGCTGGATAATTGGATGTGGTTTCTGGTGAGAAAGCCTCTGTGGGGTTCAGCTTGGGGTGCAGTGTAGAAACCACTCCATGGTGGGCACCAAAATGAGCATTTCCCATTGTGTTGGGAACACAAAAGTTTCTGGAGGAGGTGAGTTCCCATTCCTTGTGGTGGTCTGTGCTGGTTTGGTTGTTCTTTAAGTCTTCACTTGGACTTGAGCACCAGCTTCTCAAATGGGACGTCTTTGGTTCCTCTTTGGTGCAAGCCCTGACTGGCACCAAGGTGAGTTTAGGTGTATAAATCCAAGTTTAGGTGTATAAATCCAAGTTCAGGTGTATAAATCCAAGTTCAGGTTTATAAATCCAAGTTCAGGTTTATAAAT